CCCTATTCACACCATCCCAAACCTGATTCAAAGATTTTGATTGAGCAATCTCTCTCAAAAAAACCACTCCAATACATACTTCTGGCTTTCTGATTTAACTCTGTTGTACACTCTGCCACTTCAATCAGAGTTTCCCGGGTTTTTTCATTGCTAGGATCTTGACTCCACTTGCTATGACATTTCCTCAGTAACTTATTCCACCCCTTTACAATCTTGTCATTATAATACCTAGGCTTAGGTTTTGTGGTATTTCCATACTGTTTCCTTGGCTTATTCAAAATGGAATCAATCACTCCTAACAAATCATCATAAAATATGTTTTCATCTTTAATTCCAAGCTTTTTGTACTCTTTATACCACTCGCCGACTTTTGCTACAAATTCACTATGTTTGCCTACTGTTGTTGTATACCTTTTCCTATTGTTAAAATAAAAATTTTTGTTCAAATGAAGCTTCACTTCAATTGCAAAGTGATCACTCAGAAGCGTATCCACAATATCCAAATTTGTATGCACATCTAACATATTAAAAAGTATTGCATAATCAAGTACCCCCTTTAACATGTGTCGGCTCACCAGCTCCAAGGACCCTAGCACCTTCTATAGAATCTAAAATATTTTTCAGAACCATTCCATTGTGATTTTGAGAACCTCTACTGCCAAGATTGATGTGCCTAGCGTTCAAATCACCAATTAGTAAACAATCATCAGCAAAAATAATGTCCGGTAGATCATCAACTGTCAATGAATCAGCATGCACATAAAGTATTATTAATAATGAACAGTGTAGCATCTTGAAGCGTAATACTAACACACAAATAATCGGTACCGTTTATTTTTAGAGCAGAATGAAATGATGCTGGAATATCAACTTTGATATAAGTCGTTAAACCTCTACAATTTACAGTCAAATCAGTTGGTAATTCAAAACTTTGATAACCTCTTAGTTGCAAAGATATTCCGTTTGTCCCACCCTCTTGCAAAGCAATGACATCAATACTACTAGAATGAACATATGCATGAAGATCCGTTAACCTTTTTTTCAAACTATTAACATTCCAGGAAATTAAGCTGACATTATGTTCCATTAGAATAAAATTTCCCCCTCATATTCTTCACCGAAATAAGAACATTCTTTTTGACGTCGTCCCTTGGATTTTCCATAAATTCCAAAACAGAGTCAAGAATGTTCGTCAGGTCAACAAGCATTTCCTTGTTTACTACATTCTCTTTAGAAACCGAACCAACTCTATTTCCTAACTGACTATGATTACTATTTTGCTCTAAATTGCTATCCACAATATTTGATTCCATCTCTACTAATGTTTCATTTTCTTTTGAACTATCTTTATTAACAAGAGCAACATCACAATATGGCACAAGATTCACCAAGCATTTCTTGATATTCATTACTGCTTGTTTAAGCTCATCAAACTCCTTACGGAGTTCTACTAGAATGTTAGGGGCTGTAAGGTTATTGTTCCCGTTACCTATGTCCGTCTGTGCTGCTGCATTTCGTATTTCCATACGCTTTTCCCACACATTTACAGCAATTGGTGTCCCTGCAACATCGCCCCTTGCACCGTCACCTTTATCCTCTTGATTAGTGGACTGAGCTCGTGATTGCAATTGCTGAACTTTCGGTTTTTTAAGACACACCCACGAGCTGGCATTGTGAGCCCCTCCACAATTACAGCATTTTGGTGTAATTTTCTCCTTTGCCTTAATTTTATCTCCACATACCTTAGATTCATTCATTTCTCCACAGAATCTACACCGAAAATCATTATGGCATTTCCATGCCATGTGCCCCACTTGCAACACTTATAGCATATTACTGGAGATTCGTTGTAGACAGCAACCCGTTTATATCCCAAACATATCACAAAGACCTTCTCTGGCGCTGGACCTTTGATTAGCGCTATTAGCTGCGGCTTTGGCACTAGTTCTCCATCAATTTTAATTACACGTCTCTTGGCCCCCAAAAATCTATCGTATCCTCTCATATCTGCAGGTAGGACGACCTCCAATCCCAAATCCGGTCTGGCTGCTCCAGGAGCTCCAGCCGGAACCACCAAACGGGCCGCCTACAGGCAAAGACCCGTGTCGGACTACGGTCCGACAATCTCAACAACACAACAACAACTAACACTCCTTGATGTGAAACCTAGTACCTTGTCAGCCTTATTTCTAGTATATACGATTGCTGTCTTGGCTCAAGGTTCCTATTTATTATTTACCCCTAAATCTGTCACACACTCAGGTTTCTCCATAACAACGTTGTTCATCTGTAATCTGGTTTCTCTATTTACATCTATTAGGCTAAGTATTTCACATTTTCCACAGTAAATTTCTTCTGCCATTTTCAGATCATGCGATAAATTTGCTTATATATTCCTGTAAAATGTTTGGAGTCCTCATTAGATTTAATTACACGCCTTATTTTTGTGTCGTCAACAAATTTATTTATGTTACTGTCTACGGCTAAATGTATGTCTTTAATGTATATGATAAAATTTAGTAATGACCCAAATAAGATACTAAGCCTTGGGTTACGGCGCTAATGACGTTACCTCAATCGGGTTTAGTGCCACGAATGCTTACTCTCTGTTTCCTGTCCTGTAACCAACGCCCTAATCCAATTTAGAATATCCTCTCCAATTCCACGAGCCTCCACTTTACGTATTAGTCTTTCGTGGGGACCCTGTCAAAGGCTTTGCTAAAGTCGAGGTAAACCATATAATAATCGTGTCCATCATCCACTGATACGAAAACATCTGAAGAAAAAAATTATTGCCAAAGGCATAATAAGTTCTTCCTTAAATTCCTTTAATATACTAACAAATATCTCATTGGGACCTGGCGACCTACTAGATGTTGTAGTTTATCTGGTCACTACAAACTGGCTTAATTTATTTTCTTCGCCATCTCTGGAGATGGTTTCATTGTTAAATTTTCGTTTATGAAAACTGATGAAAAATGTCTATTCAGAATATTGATATTATCCTTCTCGTTATAAGTTAGCTCTCCGAAATATGAGTGTTTTGGTCCAAACTTGTCACGAGTTTTGGTACATTTGAAAAAAAAAAAACTTGGTTAGCGACCCTTGCCAGTTTAATTACATAATCTCTCGTTCTTTTTTTTTTTCGTCTGTCTTTATGGTATCTTTCCACCATCTGACTGGCAAATTGATGCAGTGTTGAGTGTTCTGTCCGTTTAATTTATAGGAGTTAACAGCGGGATATTATAAACTGTATTAATCGATGTGTGTGTGTGTGTGTGTGTGTGTGTGTGTGTGTGTGTGTGTCCCGCATCGGCCTCTCGAGCCACCTTACACCTCAGAGCTCACCAATGAAGGTGAAATCGCTAACAACTCATATCATTGTGTCATCGTTGGATGATCGTCATACTCGACTCCGAGTGACAGTAAAATAGTACTGTAGTAGTAATAGTGAATGCAATACTTGTTCAGCAACTACATCTTTGCAACTTTTTTTCTTCAAAACTCACAACCCAAACACTGATGATTCTCGATGATTTTAACAATTCCCCACTGGCAGGATAAAATAATTAACCCAGAAACAGAGTGGTCGAAGGATAATATAGAATTATTCCCAAATCCGTGTTTTTCTCATATCTGAAAAGTGTGAATCCCCAAATTTCATCCTAAACTTATATATGGTGAGTTTTCCTTGGTTTACATTTATAAAATATGAAAACAGCAATCTATTAGTGTACATTCATTTATATAGCTATTAACATGTTATTGATAGATGACTGGATACTGGTATAGTAATAATAATAATAATAATAATAATAATAATAATAATAATAATAATAATAATTCAAAATTGGTCTCAGACTAAATAAATTATGATACAGTAAATGTGTTTGCTCTATAACCAAGCAGTTCCATTATCTTCAGTTTTGGCTTTACCTTACTGTCTAGGAAGGAAGATTTATATATTATTTCATAAAACTGTTATGTGAATTATAGCCGATCTGTCATCTTTATCATCCGCTGAATTTCTACATATTAGAATTCGAGCACTCCAAAGTTACACAATTTGGTAATACTGAAAGCTAGCAATATATTTCCGAATTTGCTCTGTCGTTGAATATGTGCACATTCATGAATATTAATTACGTTGCCGTGTGTGGCTATAATTAGCGTTCAGTTATAAATGTTGCGTGTTACTATTCTAGGAACTAAACATAGCTCAGCTCTGCTATGTAAAGGAGACCAACGTGTTGCTTGAAGGTCTTTAAATTACTTACCCTATTCTGGGGAGGTGAAGTGATGAATAAACCCGCTTCATAAAAGTGCGGCCGATTACAGCCCATATACATAGGTGAATTTCCATCAACTTGGCTTAGAGCACAGGAAAAGTGTTGTTATGAAGTCACAATGTTGTCGAGCGCTTTCCTCAGATAGATCGAAAGCTATATAAGCCTCACTTCGAGTGCTTTGCTAGCAAGAAAAAAACAAGGGCTTGAGCAGTTTTCTATAGTAATCAAGCAGTAGTTCGAGGCTAGACACTAGAAACAACTTCCTTGTCTTTCTTCTCACCGAAGGCCGAAATAGTTGGCATCTTGTCTGTGTAAATAGACTCCGTAGGTTAGATTCACTGTAGTTATTCTTGGTGAGCTGTAGAGGTGTTAACACCATCTCATGCTGATGCTTCCTCCAACAGCACCGGCATTGTGCACCAGCTTCTCTTTCCTGTGCCAGGTGCATCATTTTTGTCTTGTTTTGGTGAGTTTGTTCCTTCAAGGTATATTCCTAACGCTTTACCACCTGTGACGTCATTACCTAAATTTTAAACATATCGGCATCAATATATTAAGTGGTTAACCAAATTACTCATCCTTAGGATACAGTGAACACTCATCTGATACCATCATCACCATAGTAAGATGACAAGCTTCCCCAAGCGTTTAAAAAATTACGTAGAGTCAGGGTTGCTCTTGTTTATTACTAATATTGTTGTGTTCCTACAGAACGGAGACTATGGCCACTACAGAAGCGACCCTTAACATCACTGACCTGCCCAGCGACGTGTAAGTGTTTTTGTGGTCTTGTGGTTACTCATCTATAATATTTATATTATGAAATCTTTCCGTTACACTGTGGTGTAACGGTCAGCATTCTCGCCTGACAAGCTGGCCCTTGGGCCGGCCATCCTCGTTACTCGAGGGTCAACCATTATTATTTATCTTAGTATTTGTTGTGCTGTGATTTGTATAATATAAATATATTATAAACTGACTTATACAATAATCACCGATGAGTGCCGGGGATCGAACCCGGACCACCACGAATGGCAGGCAGGGAATTATCCACAGAACCACGATTCTGGTCAGCATGAATTTGAGTAATGACATGTACACAAATTGGATATTTTACCATTAGGTAAATTTTTAAACCTTCAGTGGGACTAAAACCACAAATCTTGAAAAATAGTCCACACGCACTAGCACATACTAGGATCCTTGATGACTCCTCCGAAGTTGTAGCAAGTCAGTCGAGACTGTGTCAAACGGACGTTCTGGTGTAGGATATTGTAGAATTGGAGCCGATGACCTTGTAGTACACTAAAGCAAAAATGACTGTAGACTACAATGAATCGCGTCGGTGTTCATTTATATATACAGTATATATATATATATATATATATATATATATATATATATATATATATATATATATATATATATATATATATATATATATATATATATATATATATATATATATATGCAAGTAAATCACTGTGGGTGCTCGTGATCCAGGTATATGCTGACAACCACAAGGAAAGAAGAAAACACGAAGTTCTCAAGCGCTTTCGTGTAATTCACATCTTCAGGGGTGAGTACAGACTAAGGAGAAGAGTAAAACAAGGTATATATATACAGAGGAGGGTGAGATCAAGTCCACAATGGTCAGGTATTAGATAATGACCCAACTAATCTTCAAAAAGCACCGCCCACCATAGTAGAGTCAAATAGTCAGTATTTTCATCAATGTTTTTACGTGCTTTGAGAATTTGCAGCCCGGAATTCATTGATGAGGAATATAAATATATCTAAAATATTGGCTTGAACCTTAAGTACCCTAGATCTTTCATAGACAAATGCCTTAACATTACTAAGAACATAAGAATGGAGGAAACTGCAGCGGGCCTATTGGCCCATACTGGGCAGTCTCGTTTACACCCAACCCTATTGCTCATATAAGCATCCAACCTATGTTTGAAGCTATTCAGCGTATTCGAGTTAATGATGATATTTGGTAACTTGTTCCATTCATCCACTACTCTGTTTCCAAACCAGTGTTTACCTATTTTACCCAGAAATCTAAATTTGTCTAATTTAAAACCATTGTTACGAGTTCGCTCCTGGTTGGATAGTTTGAGTACCTTTGTAATGTCCCATTTGTTTAGCCCTGACTTCCACTTATACACCCCTATCAGGTCGCCCCTCGCTCTACGTCTCTCGAGGGAGTGCAAATTAAGATGCTTTAACCTGTCTCTATACTCAAGGTTCCTAATGCCCGGGATTAGTCTTGTCATTCTCCTCTGAATTCTTTCCAATGATTCTATATACATTCTGTAATACCGTGACCAGAACTGAACTGCGTAATCCAGGTGTGGTCTCACAAGAGCAAGATACAGTTTTAGGATGACGTTGCTAGTCTTGTAACTAACACTCCTTTGTATGAACCCAAGTATTTTATTAGCCTTGTTACGAGCAAAAACACATTGTTTACTTGGCTTAAGGTTCCTACTTATCATTACTCCTAAATCTCTCTCGCAGTCGGATTTCTCTATGGCATCGTTGTTCATCTGGTATCTGGTTTCCCTGTTTACATCTCCTATACTGAGTACTTTACATTTGTCCACGCTGAATTTCATCTGCCATTTTTCAGACCATTCGAAAAATTTGTTTAGATCTTCCTGTAGTTTTGCTGAGTCCTCGTCAGATTTAATAACACGTCCTATTTAGTGTCATCAGCAAATTTACTTATGTTGCTGTCTATGCCGATATCTATGTCGTTTATGTATATAATAAATAATAATGGTCCAAGTACTGAGCCTTGGGGAACTCCACTTGTGACGTTGCTCCAATGGGACTTAGTGCCGTTAATACTCACTCTCTGTTTCCTGTCCTGTAACCACGCCCAAATCCATTTAAGGATGTTACCTTTGATGCCATGAGCTTCTACCTTTCTAATTAGTCTTTCGTGGGGGACTCTGTCGAAGGCTTTGCTAAAGTCGAGATATACCACATCATAATTGTGCCCCTCGTCCACCGATTCGAAAACTGATGAAAAGAATGTTAATAGATTAGTTAGACAAGAACGTCCGCTTGTGAAGCCATGCTGGGAATCATTGATCAATCGGTGCTTCTCCAGGTGATTTCGAATAGAGTTTGAAATGATTGCTTCCAGTAATTTGCCTACTATTGATGTTAGACTGATTGGGCGGTAGTTAGAGGATAGTGATCTATCCCCCTTCTTGAAAATCGGTATTACATTCGCTATTTTCCAGGATTCTGGTACTACACCTGTTTTTAAGGACATGTTAAACAACTTTGCTAAGGGTATACTAAGCTCTTCCTTACATTCCTTTAATACTCTGGCAAATATCTCATCGGGACCATAGACGATGTGGTGAAAACCTGTGATCAGTTAATTACTGCCCTTGAACAACGTGCATTTATCAGTGAGCACGAGATTATGGCAGTTTATTCAATTAAAGAGAGACTGCTTAGACAGAAACCACTGTTAATGAGACAGATGACACTGGAAGAAGCCTTTAAAAAGACCATCTGTCCTGGTGTTGAGTCATCACTTGAGAGTCCTGTTCCTGGCCCATCTTCAGATGTCTGACTCCTACTTGATGATGACAACACTGATGTGTCCTCTTCATGATAAACAAGCCAGCTGTAATGTACCTTTACTGTATCTGTTTGAAGTTTTACAGAATAATTTCCTTACAAATAATCTGTACTAGAGTATTTATGGACTACATTTATCCCACAATTTCATTTATGCCAAACCTAACTAAACTGAACTGAAACTAACCTAACCTAACAACCTAACCATTCCGAAAACCGAAAAATTCCGAAAACCGAAATATGTCTGGCCCCAAGGATTTCGGATAAAGGGTTGTCAACCTGCACTAACATTGTTACTAGTCACTACTATCTCGCTTAATTTGTTTTCTTCACTATCTCTGAATAGAGTAGGTGCCTCGGGTATCATGTTTAAATTTTCGGTGGTGAAAACTGTCGAAAAATATTTATTCAAATTATTGCTCATTTCTCCGTTGTTATCAGTGAACTCGCCGGTATCTGACCGTATTGGTCCAATCTTTTCTCGTGTTTTAGTTTGATACATTTGGTAGAATCCTTTGGGGTTTGTCTTCGCCTCCCTTGCTGTCCTTACCTCATTATTCCTCTTGGCTTTCCTTATCTCGGTTTTAACCCAATCGCCAATATCTTATAATAATCCTGGAGGTAAATTTCGCCACGCTTTATCCTTCTACCTATAGCCTTGCTTTGGCCAATGATGTTCTTTAAATAATTATTTATCCATTTAGGGTCATTGTTGTCTGATCTGAGTTTTTTGTATGGTATGTTCTGCCTTTGTGCATTAAGTAACTCATTATTTAAATTGACGTGGAACTCGGCAGTCTCAGATGTCTTTATCAGGTCGGAGTCATCTGTCAGCTTCACGGCCAAGCGCGACTCCCCCTCTCTCAGCTGCCTCTTTAAACTGTCAAAGTTTGCCCTTCTGAAATCTGGTACTTTAGTGGAATTTTCCTTACGTCTGCCCTGAAAATCTAACTGGAATCGAATCTCTTTGTGATCTCTGTTTGCAAGTTCGTTCCCTACCTCGACATTGCTAATGAGGTTTTCTCTGTTCGACAGAACTAAATCGAGAATATTATTACCCCGTGTGGGTTCGGTTATATGTTGACTTTGGAAACAGTCCTAGATCGTCTCGAGAAAATCCTCTGATTCTGAGTTACCCGTAAGGTCAGTCCAATCTATTTGGCCAAGGTTAAAGTCCCCTACTATACAGACTTTATTGTGTATGGAAGCCCTGCTCATTTCATCCCAGATAAGTCGCTCATTGACTCTATCAAGATTGGGAGGTCTATATATTACGCCTGTGATTAATTTTTCCCTACCGTCGCTTAATTCTATCCAAATTGTTTCTGTATTCCTCTCAGTTTTTATTTCCTTATTTATTTCACACTTTAGATTATCCCTAACATAGATTGCTACTCCGCCTCCTTTCCTGGTTTGCCTATCGATATAGAACAATTTGTAACCCGCAATTTGGTATTCGACCGGCAGCTCATGTGAGTCTAGGTTGATCCATGTTTCAGTGAATGCTATTATATCGATTTTTTCGGTACATACCAAGGCCCTAATATCATCCATTTTGTTTCTCATACTTCTACTGTTCTCGTAGTAGACATTTAAGTTAGTCGTGTTCTGAGTCCTCCCTTTACCGCGTTTAGTTTTAAACTCCCTGTTTAATTTAGTTTTGTCATCATTCCTAACACTATTTCCCTGTAATCTTTTACTTTGTTTACCCGCTCCCACTGCAGTTTCCCCCACCCCCGTGCCCATATGTTCCCCTAGCAGTTTAAAGACTTCGATATCCTTTGAACTGCCCCCTCTAGAGACCCAGCCAGGGTTGCCACCCCATCCCGAGACAGGTGCACCCCATCCCTAGCATAAAGGTCCATTCTGCCGTAGAAGTTGTCCCAGTTGTCAATGAATGGAACCGATATTGACTTGCAATATCTGTCAAGACGGTCGTTGACACCAACCGCCCTTGACAACCATTCACTGCCAACTCTCCTTCGCGGCAGGACACCACATATGATAGGGATCCCTCCCTTAGACCTAATATGATCTATAGCTGCCTTGAACTTATCAAGAAGCTCCTCGCTCCTACACCGGCCAATATCATTGCCTCCTGCACTGAGGCAGATAATGGGTTTGTTCCCATTACCAGACAAGATATTGTCCATCCTGTCAAT